GCAGGGAGCGGCGCAGGAAGAGGGAGAGGCCGGGGGCGCAGTGCAGGAAGCGGCTCAGGAAGAGGGAGAGGCCGGGGGCGCAGTGCAGGGAGCGGCACAGGAAGCGGGACAGGCCGAGGGCGCAGCGGAGGAAGAGGGACCGATGAATAACTGAACAGCAGGAGAGAGAGGAAAGCACAAGGAAGGCTCCGCACCAGCTCTCCGTCCTGTCCCCACGCTGGGTCCCAGGGCAGAGACCTGCCTGCTCTGTGGCTGCAGCACCTGGCACGCAAATGACACAATCCTTCCAAAGGATTGTCCTGAGCTGGCCAGGCCGGGCACCTTGGCCGGCTCTGTCTCCCCCAAAGCTCTCCACGCGCAGGGTGCAGGCTGCCCCCAGCACTCAAGCAGAGCCCCCAGGGAATGGGGGGTGTCTCCGCGCTGCTGTGACCTTACCGAGTACCACGGGCGGGGTGCTGTTGGAGGGGGCTGCCTCTGGCATGGCGCTGGGAGGGAAGAGCACATTGAAGAGCCAGAAGTGGGCCGTGGGCTGCGGGAGCAGCAGCAGCGCCAGCGCGAGCAGCGGAGCCCTGAAGCCTGCGCGCCCCATGGCAGGTCCGGCTGGGATCCCTCTGCACCTCGGAGCAAACAGCCTTTTCTTTTATCAGCGCACCGGGTCGGGCCAGGAGGCGCGGGGGGGAGGGGAGAGCCAGAGGGGGATGGGAGGGGGAGGGAGAGCGGAGGGCAGAGTGACAGCGCTGCACACACCGTCCCCAGTCTCCCTCTGCAGCCAAGGGCTCTCGGCTCGCCTGGAAACCAGCCCTCAGCCTCCCAACGGCAGAGATACCCAGAGTGGGCGCCCGCGTCTCCCTGAGCTGACCCCCACTGAGGGCTGGGGACAGCGCCCCTCCCCTGACAGCCCTGGCCAGCCCCACCACAGGCCTCCCGCGCGGGGTCACGCCCATGGGAACACAGCGACTGCAGGCTGGTGCTACCGAGCGTTACCCCACGGGGCAGGGCGCTGGGGCAGCAGGGATCCAGCCCTGCACAGTGCTGGTGTCTCTGGGCCACGGGTCACGCCCCAGGGCCCCCGCCTGTGGCCTTTGCACTAACTTGTCCCGCACAGCCCAGGCTCTCGGGAGCTCAGCAGGGGCTGTTCTGCAACACAGCAGCCAGACCACGCTGCTACTGCCCACGGGGGGCAGGCCCCACGGCTGGGGGGAGTCTGCCCACAGCCAGCAGTGCTGCTCCAGAACAGGTAAGTCAGGGAGGTGAAGAAGACTCGTGTGTGTGTGTGTGTGTGTGTATCGTATATATATACACACACACACACACACACACACACGTCTTCTACACCTCCCTTCTACACACACCCCATTCCACACATATACACACAGCCTTCTCCACCCCCCTTCTACACCCAAACCCACCCAGCCTTCTACACACACACACCCCTTCTACAATCACACACGCACACACACACACAATGGATGTTTTTCATTTTGTTCTAAATTTTCTGTAAATTTTTTGGATGAAAAATTTGGACACACAAGATTTTTAAACAATTCATGTAACGTTAGTGGGGCAAACTCACTTTTGCTCCCTGTTAATGTTTCCCCCCACCCCACAGCAGTGAGGAGAGTAAAGAACAGAGAAGGAGGGATGGCCCCGCCCCCCCAAAAACAAAATAGTTCAAAACCAGAAAATGGCACCGACACGAAGAATTTCCACAAACATTTGCATTTTGGTCGGCAAGGCATTTGCTGCTGAACTCCGGTCCCTCAGGAACTGCTGACGAGCACCAGTCCTGAGCAGAAAGCAGCGGGCTGGGAGTGCTGGAGCCGCCAGTGGGTTATGCCTGCATGGCAGTTCCTCGGCTGTGCGTATATATCACAATAGCTTTCGCTTGGAGTGGCTCTGTGCAGTCACATGCAAAAAAACAACAACCCGTCCCTCCCATGGAGTTGGCATTTCCAGGGCCCAGCCCTTGCTGCTCGTTCCCTTCCAGACCCGGAAAGTGCAATTCCCAGGACCCCAGCAGGCAAATCACTGCCTGCAGAGCTAAGGTGACCCCTCCCACATAACCTTAACTCTGCCCTGGGCAGCCCTGCCCTGGGGGACGTCTCAGTACTGAGGGCCCAAAGGCGGGAGCTGCACGCTCTGGTCACCATCAGGCTGTGGCTTCGTTCCCGTTGGACTTACATAATGGGTCAGTAAAGCCGCCTGAGTGGCTGGCGGCCCCATTATCCCCCGGCACACCACGCTGGCGGACCGAGTGCTCGTGAGTGATGGGATTGGGAACTGGTTATTGGTGCCAGACCCGAGATCTCCGCTGGGGCAGCCCCCTGGAGTCAGAGATGGAGCACCCTGGGGTGGGGTGTTCGTGGGTCCTGCACTGCCAAGGAGATGGGTTCCACACAGTGCCACGAGGCTACCTACAGCTAACGAGTGGTGGCCTGAGGGCAGGCAGCTGGGATGCCCCGGCCAGGCCAGGGCCCAGTCAGAGAGCGGGTGGCGCAGGTGGTGGTGGGGCATGCGAGCTGTGGCTATCTGGGCAGGTCTGCAGCCCAAGGGCCAGGGTGGCTGGGAGGAAATCAGTCTCTACCCTGTCTCTGGTGTGTGGGGCTGGACCAGGACGAGTAGGGACAGCTGGCTCTGGTGTGGACCATCTGAGTGAGCTACTGCACCTAGGACTCCTGCCATGGGGGCAGCGGTGGGTGGGGCTCCAACCTCCTGCCAATGGGGGCAGCGGTGGGCGGGGCTCCAACCTCCTGCCAATGGGGAAGGGCTGGTTTGGGCATCCTCTGGGGGGGGCGGGGGGAGTTCCTGGGAACAGCAAACACCTCTTCTGGGGCATTTGGGGGAGAGAGAGGGAACTTGCTGTGATCTCCCAGCCTCTCCCTGAGCGATGGTTTATTCCTAGGGGCAGGGGACACATGGTGACCCCCCAAAGTTACTTCTCACATCAGTCTCTGGCTTCAGCTACTTCTCACTCTGAGGGCGTCTTCACTGCAGACTTAACCTGGGCTCCTGCAGGCTACTGGGCCGAACAGAACCGAATCCGGTTCACGTGGCGTGGGTGGGGTCCCTCTGTCTGGCGGCGGTGGGCATGGAAGCGGGCGGGATTTACACTCGAGTGTCAAGATGCTTAAGAACATTTGCCAGGTCTGAGAATGTTGGTTCACCAGTGTGAATAGCAGACGTGATACTGACACGCCCTTTCTCGTGAACAGAGGATGCAATCGTTTATTTTGAATGCAGAGTTGGCTTCATCGAGCAGTTTTGTACTCCCGAGACAATAATGCCAAAGCAAAACTCTTTCTGATGAATAATTCAATCCGGTTCTTTCCCCGCAGACAATCCAGTGGCTGATGAGGGAGAGCCAGCCCGTCAGTTTTGGGCACACGAGGATCTAGGCCAGCCCCAAGCAGTCTAGGAACATTTCAAACCAGAGCAGGCTTATTGCGTGTACAGAATGACAGTGCAGTAAACGACAGTGTCTCTCCTGCAGGCTGCAGGCCTCGGCACCAGGCAGCTCGGTCACAAAACAAGCCACCCGTGGAGTGCAGCTCACCGCGCAGGAGATGTCCGGGGGGAGTTAAGAGAGAGCTTGGCGTCCAAGTTCTAGGAGAGGCTGACGGCAAGGTCCCAACCCTGCTCCAGCCCTGTTATGCTGGTAAAGGGGCTGGAGTGGTGGAAAGGGGCCCTGGAAAGCCCGGATCTGACCAGGGGAGGCGTCCCTGGGCCAGGCTGTGTGGCTGACACGTGCAGCTGCTTTCCGAGGCCCTGTTACAGGGGCATGCTGGGGTAGTGTGGCCGCATGCAGCACTGTGGCCTGCAGGGCAGCCCCTGGAGGCGGCTGGCATCTAGCCAGGCCCTCGGGGCTGTCTGGGGCAGCCGAGGATTGGGGGGGTCACGAGGGCCTCCTCTCCGAGGTGCAGCCCCGAATCTCTTGGGGTGCTGAGAAGAGTAAAGCAATGGCTGAGGGGGGTGCTCACAGATTCCAGCCTCTGCTGAGCATGTCGGGGTTCACTGGGAAGGAGAATGGCAGTCACTGGAGGCGTCTGTAACTGTCCCACCACGCTCGTTAACCCAGGGCCGTCAGCGGCAGCCCCGCACTCTGCTCTGAGTTACCTCTAGCAGACATGGGGCAGGAGAGCCAGCGGCAGACCTGCCCGCCCCCTGGCTGCAGGGAACTCTCTCGCTCAGTGGGGTCGGTCCCTCTCCTCTCCTCTCCTCTCTGCAGGGTCCCCAGCAGGAGCTTAGCAGAAGTCCCTGACTCCAGGCACTGGGCGAAGGATGGGCTGGCCAGGCCGGTTACCTGCTGCTGCTGTGTTCTGGCCAGGTGGCGAGTTGAACAAGTGCTCTGGGTGGACCCCAGGCTTGGGGGGGAGGCTGCTCCTGGAGTCTTGTTTAGTTTTCAAACATCAAGGGATCTATTCCCTGCAGGAAGGCCCCACTCACAGCCTGCTCAGCCCCAGCTCTGCCCAGCCCAGCGGCTGCTCTGCGACCAGGGTTGGGTCGGTGGATGGTGCCTGGCGTCTGCCCTGCCCCGAGCTGTGGAGTTTGTCCACGGGAAGGGCTATTTCTTCCCAGCTCTGCAAGGCCTGGTGGACCACGCAGCAGCCTCACCAGCAGGCGTGTGTGGGGGGCTTTGAAGGGTCTCTGATAGCGGGACCCAGGTGTGGCGAAGAGGGCCTGTTAGTGCGGGCTCTGGGCTGGTCCCCCACCGGGATTTCAGCCGGGGCACAGCCCTGGCTCAGGCTGCCAGCGCAGTGGGAGCCGGGTGGGTGTTCTCACCACAGCAGGGATGGAGGAGCTGCTGCCGCCTGTGGTGTCTGTGTCCTGCCCTGCCGAGCTCGTCGGGACTCAGCTGTGCCCCCCCGGCCCCCTTGAGGGACTGGCTCTTCCTGCTCTCTGAGTAGCTGGGGAAGACACAGGCCCTGCCTTCTTTGCGCGGGCACCAGGCCTCACCCTGGGAGTGCCCCATGTCTCTCGATTGTTCTGAGAGCCGCTGGTCCACCTTAGCGTCCCAGCGGTGGGCCTGACTGTGGCCCTTTCCCCAGAGGGCTACAGCAGGGGACCGCATGGAGGCAGGGGGGTGTGAGTTGTGAGCATGCAATGGAAGCGAGCTCCAATAGGAACCTTGGGCCGCCTGCACGTTGCGTTTGAGCAGGGGCCCAATGTGCAGCGTTGCCCTGGGGCCTGGCCCCAGGGCGGCTGCGTGTGCTCCAGAGGGGAGGCACGTGGGCCAGGTGACTGCAGAGCAGGGGCGTGCAGAAAGGTCACCGGACAGGGCAGTTCAGGTAGGAGCTGCCGCCGCGTGGGATAGTGGGAGGACGGTTGGACCCAGCATGGTTCTATCTTATGAGCAACAAAACCAGTGTAGCTCCCCCGGGCGTGACGCTGGTTGCAAAGCGGGCGATGGGGCTGATGTAAGCACGGCGGGGCAGCGAGCAGAGGGTGCATGAGGGGGACACAGGCAGGTCCTGCTCCAGTAGGGGCAGTTCTGTGGGCACACGGAGCTGGCACAGGCCATCCCATGGGTGGCTTGGTCTGTCTGCTCTGCACCAGGAACAGCCTGAAGAAAAGGTGCTTTTTAGATGGCGTTTGCTAACATGAAGTGAAACAGCATCTACTAGCAAGGACCACCTCCCTCCCCTTCCCCCCGGGGGACCTGGGCAGCCAAGCTCACCGCACCCGTGTAGGTGGGGAGGGCAGGCCGAAGCCCAGACCCGGGCATCTCTTGGGCTGACAATGCCCGAGGCTGAGGCTTCCAGGGCAGACAAGCCGGGGGGCTGCTTGAGGGGGGTGCAAAGGGCTGCTGGGAGGTCTGTCCAATGGGCATTTTGTGCCTGTTTCTCTGACG